GGTTGTTTTTTCCATTCAAAAATTGTAAACAATCCATCCATTTACTTTTAGAGCATAGCAATTTTCAGCAATCGTGTAATTTTTTTATTGATAAAAATTTTCACATACTGTCTACAAAGAAAATACCGCAGAAATATTAACAAAGTTCTAATAGCGCGACCACTATCGATCACGCACTCAATTCCACTTATTTTTACCAAAAATGCAAGTGTTTCTAGCTTGCACTTAAAAAAATTCAAGCTATAGGGAAAATTACAACGACTCGTTATTAAATAAACAAATCAAGCATCACTAGACGTAATTAAATCGTGAAGCTGAACGTATAACGTACACCTTTCCCTAGAACTTTAAGTACTGACAGAGGTAATAGCTTTTTTCGGGTTCTTGTTATTACCGATTCTGAACCGTCCTAGAACTCTGCAGCGCATGCGCAAATGAAATAATGTCTTCATATTTCCTTCTGCGCATACGCATCACAGTTCTAGGATGGTTCAGAATCGGTAATAACAAGAACCCGAACAAAGCTATTGATTGGGTCGACCGGTCAACTGCGACAAATCTACTATATCCCCTTCCACGTCTCTTAGCGATATACACAGTTTCTCGGTTTATTTCATTCGTTTGGCAACGTGTTTACTATCATCTCTTTGTTCAGTACATTATAAACGCATTGTACTCTTCTTATATACGGAAATCTCGACCCAAGATTAACCTTTGCCAGCCCTTAGTATACCTATAGAAACAGCATTTTGCAACAATAAAAATTTAACACGCAAATTTATATTTCAAAAATTACTGGATTTAAGTAAAAACAACTATGGAAAGATCAATCGAAACAGTTAGTTGAAAACGACTCAAATAGATGCAAATCCAAAGCTAAATTTTTCTCATTTGATTCTAAAATAGGCCTTCAGAAATATTCAGTTTTTTAATGAAATAAATGAAAAATTTATAACAATTTTTATATAATACATACCATGTCACTTCTTACTTAACATTAATAATCTACAAATGCCAACAGCTTTAAGTAAAAAAGCAACCTTTAAGCGAATTAATCAATAAATTTATGATCGTAAAAAAAAACTCTTAACAATAAGTTGCACAAGAAATATTTCTCAGAAATCAAACAAGCTCTTAAACAAGAAAGAATTGACCGTAATTATGAAATTTTATATTTTACACATACCAAAACATTCCGACGTATCTACCTTGTTCAGTCAACCAGTAGTTATTCAAATAACGTATATAATTAAACTGTAATGCATTAAATGAATTGTTACTGGTGGATAATTGCGCTCTTAGAGAAAATTGTACTATAATTAGTGGGAAATATTTCAAAAATATATAAGAAATATATGTGATCAGAGAGCAGCATGGTTGTACTATATGATTTAAAATTAAGATGCTAGAAATACTATAAAATGATGCTGTAAAAAATGGCATAGATGCGGTAAATTTATAATGTATTTGAAACCTGGGATATCTATTTTTTTTTAAGCTACACATTAATGATAAATAATTAATAAGTTATTTATAATGAAACAAAATTGCTACTATTGAAATAAAATAGGATATACAGGGTCCTACAAAAATGCAGTTGGACACAGGGCCTATAATAAAGGACTTCGTTTAAGTATAGTCCTAATATAGTCCGTGGGTTTTTTTAGGGGACCTTTTTTATGATTCTAAATAATTTTTAAGGTGTTAAAGTTGACATGAAGCGTGGAAATGACTTCGAAAATTTTGGCATTTGTTCGCTACATTAAATTATACCAGCAGAAAAAAAATAAAGGTGTAAATAAAAATAAGATGTTTCTTCTCGGGAACGGTAAGTAGCTAAAGGACCAAGTGAAGCCTCTACGGATAGAGTTAGTGGAGCTCTATATTCACCCCATTTAAACTTTTCTTCTTCTTCTGCTTATTTGATATCTAGTTAGTTTTAAGGTTGCCTGTATAGGAGTTCCTGGGAGATGGACTGCCAAGATTTCTTTCCATCTTTTTGGAGGTATTCTCGGCCGTCTCTTACCCATGGGTTTTCCTTCAAGAGCTATGCGTGGTAGCCTGTTTTCTTCCATGCGTTTTAGGTGTTAGTGGGAAACCATTGTCTTGCTTTGCCTACCCCATCTCACTACGTCCTGTATTCCACATTGTTGTCTGATATTTGAGTTTCTAATTTTGTCTCTTCTAGTCTTCCCCATTATGGTTCTTCATTTCAGCGACCCAACATTCTTTTGGTTTTGTTTATTTCCTCTCAGATTTCTATGCCATATACCTTTGCCATTTAAACTATGTTTCGAATAGTGGTGCATAAGGGTCTTGAAAAAGTCTTGCCAAACCAAGACTCTTGCAACAAATTCAAGACAAGACTTTCAAAATTTCTTGTCTTGAATTTCAAGATAAGACTTTAATATCCAAGAAATTTCAAGAGTCTCGCAAGATTTCTTGAATTCAAGATTTCTTGAAAGTTAGAAATGATACATTTTTTAAGTGAAAATTAGGTCTTTGTGCAAGTTATGCCGGGTTTATACAACATTTACATAGTCGTAATCACAATCATAGTCATCATGAAAGTTAAACTATCGACTTATAAATCTGTTGATATCTACCATGAACTTAGCCTTTAATTATGTTACCCAACTTCACTGATATAAAAATTATGATTATGAAAATGTTCTATAAACGCACATTAAAATTGCGTTGTGATTATGACGATGATTAAGACTGTGATTATGATTACGACTTATGCAAATATTGTATAAACTCGGCATTAATATTTACCAGTGTTCATTTTTTTTCTATCATAGCCAGTGTTTTAGAGTTGAGAATGAAATAAAATAAAGTCGAGGCCACAAACCGTATATTAGTAATTGGTATTATACACAAAATTAAATTGATATAATGGTAAAAACTAGCGGTAGTTAAAACTAATGGTGGGTGCGTGGAGCACGCTATTTGCACTATTTGGTACTACTTTTCATGCACGAAATTGCTCCGCAAACAAAAAGTACTATCAAATAGCGCAAATAGTACACTCTAGCATAACCTTTCTTACACACCCTGTGTCCAAACTTTTCCAACCAATCTTCTATAATAAAAAAATAAAATAAATACTATAAAAAATAGAAGTAATAAATTCTGTTTCGTCAAACGGGCGAGTTGACGTAGTTCGTTTGCGGTCCGTTAAGATTTTTCTTTCTAAAATTAGCATCGTTGCTGTTCATTTTTCCATACTACATTTTGTATACGACGCTTTCTATGAAATAAAATATAAAAATATTAGTATCTTTTTGTTAGAATGTAAAATTTTCAAGAGTTTGAAATTTTTGAATTTGAAATTTTGAGTTTGACAAGAAATTTCAAGACAAGACTTTGCCATTCAAGAAATCTGCAAGACAAGACTTTGAAAATTTCTTGTCTTGAATTTCAAGACAAGACAAGAAATTGATTTTCAAGACAAGAATTCTTGTCTTGTGCAACACTAGTTTAGAAAATGCATAGTTTCCGAGATAGTTAATTTGAAAGATTCCCGATTGTCGATTTTCCGGATATGTCCCTTTGAAAAAAATCGACTTTTTTATTAAATTTACTTATTATTATTAAATTTATACAACCCAAAAATCTTTCAAATCCGAATAAGTAAAAAAAAAGCTCGATTTTGGCCGGGAAATTTTCTGGAAATTTAGATTTTTTCAAGTTTTTTTAGGGTATCTACCAAACCCTTCAATTCTAAGAAACCATTTATGCACCGTTAGATAGACGACTGATGGCGCCCTCCCATGGCCTATTTTTCATTTCTTAGATTTTTAGATTTAGATTTTTAAGGACTCATAGAAAAAACGTTTTAAAGTTGATATTTTGCCAAAATCGAAAAACGCAAATATCTAGGAAACTGTAAGTAGCTAGACGACCAGTGAGGCATCTACGAATAGAGCTAGTGGATCCCTATAATCGCCCTATTTTAACTGTGGTTCGAAAATTTCCAAAAATTTTCCCGGCCAAAATCGAGCTTTTTTCACTTATTCCGATTTGAAAGATTTTTGGGCGTGGATCAATGTAGATTGATTCAGCACTCTGTTGTCACTTCTACTGTTAACTGTTCCATATTTTTTTAAGCACATGATTATTTCGATTTTTATAATATAGTCTAGTTGCTTAAGCTTTGCACTCATTGTTCTTGTTGACTACTGTCTAGAAATCCAAATCTTGTACAAGATTCTCCTCTTATATGTAACAATCAACTGTTAAGCTGGATTTATAAACTCGGGAGTTGAGGTTCAGTTGCCTTTCAAAATGTTCAACGCTATGGAATGAACGCGCGCATTTATAAAGTCAGTTGGTCGAAAAGTTGGCAGTTCGTTTTACGTTCAACAGAGTTCAAAGATGGTCAATGTTTATGTCGGCAGTTGGCGACCGCTGGCGACAGCCAATGAATAAGCGCCTGTCGATCACGTGAGGCACAGTACGCCGTGGCATTGGAAAATGACCCTTATTGTTGTTTCATTATTTCTGTTAATGTAATGTTTATATTTTGCGTAATCGTGGATTACTGTGTTTGGTTTGGTGTGTTTCTGTGTTTGAACTTTGACAAATACCAAAAGTATTTTTAAATCGAAAGAAAAACGTTCGAAATTTTCACAATTCCAAACCTAACCTACACAACCAAAACTTACAATTTATAAATGCAAAAATATTGAACCTCAACTGCCGCGAACATCCAACCGCAACTGAACCTCAACTGAACGCCAACTTCCGAGTTTATAAATCCAGCTTTAACATACATTTAGTACCAGTAGACCAAAACATCGTACGCGTAGCTTCGTCCTATACCACAACCGCAGCCTCACCGTACCGTACCACCGACCAAACCAAACTAACCTTTCTAGACTTCCGTACCCGCACCAATCTCACCAGCCGGTACCCGGGCAGTACCTATGGCGCAGGCGGTCCACTCTCGCCTCTCCGAAGAATTCCTCGGCTTCTTTCTCAGTGGTTCTGCAGTCGTCATCGTAAGCCGGTACGAGAAGCACAGAACAGACGGTGTGTGTGCGCTCTCGAGCTTAGTGCGGTACCCAAGACATCTTTCGCTTTCAAGGTCAACGCAACAACCTGGTGGTACCGTGTGATGGCAGCCTAGCTCGGTCGTTGTATAACACCGACCATCGGCCGTTTCGATATCGTGGTCGATTTGTTTTCCAGTTGGTTTTCTTAAGTTAGTACTACTTTGGTCGAAAAAGTTTGTGGTGTTTCAAAGGTGTTTTGTGACAGTTTTTTTAGTTGTGTTGGATAACGATTTTACAAAGGATTTATTGATGATGATCACGGTGAGTCTTTTTGCATTTTATTTGAACGAGTGTGGAAGTGGATACGATTCAAGGCAGAAAAATATGGCAAACCACCAATTTTGACCTTTGTTGCATTAAGTAATGCAGTTATTGGCTGATTTGAGACTTTTCTTAAGACCTTCTTCATTAACACGTTTTTTTCTTATATCAATGTTCTTTCATTTATCTCAAACACTATACAGCATATCCCCGGATCGTGTTTACACAAGGAAACATATTTTTATTATTCTTTTTTTTGAGAAAAAATGCATTCTTTATAAAAGTTTTTACTTGTTCTAAAATGGTTAATTCCGTTTATATTTTCTCAAATTTCCCTGCCGTTTCAGGAATATAATAAAAAAATGAGAATATGGTTGAATTTTTTATATGGCCAAAAAATCAAAACAGGCCTCTATGGTAAAATTAGTTCTGTTCATTAAGTGAAAAAAAGTCTTCTTGCGGTGTTTGTTGCAACGACCAAGAGCTTCATAAGGCAAGATTATGTTTTGTAATAAACAGTAATTATGAGTATAATAAATCAACCAACCATTAATAATAATTTAATTAATAGAAAACAAAAACAATAAAATCTTATTAGTTTCATTTTCCTCATTTCGCCAGTCTCCAAAAACATTAAATATTATAGATGTTTAATTGATACTGCAAAATGATGATCATTTTTATTAAATTCTTTACCTAAGCGATAAATAGAGTCACCTTTTCCATATTATTGAAGTAAATAGCCCTTTTATTTTAACCTTTTTCTGAGAAAAATGCATTTTTCATAAATGTTTTTACTTGTTCTAAGATGCTTAAGTCCGTTGATACTTTTTCGAGATAAATAGAGTCGCCTTTTCCATATTATTGAAGTAAATAAAGTGTATGCTCTCATAATAGTTTAAAGCGACAAAAAACTAAATTAATAGTTTGTAATAATCTGTAAGAATGAAAACTAAATAATATTACCATAGAAACGAGTTTTGATTTTTAGGTCTTAAAGAAATTTAGCCATAATTTGAATTTTTGAAAAAGTGTAAACGGAATTAGCCATTCTAGAGCAAGTACATTTTTTTATAGAAAATGTATTTTTCTCTGTGAATAATAAAAAGCGTTTCACCTTGTAAAAACGATCAGGGAACTTATACCTATTAACATTTATTACCATTACACATGAAACTAGATTGATTTGATTATTTCAACGAAATTATCCATTTTAGAGCAAATACATTATTTTTATAGAAAATGCATTTTTCTCTGTGAATAATAAGTTTCGCCTTGTAAAGATGATCAGAGAACTTATACCTATTAACATTTATTACCATTACACATGAAACTAGATTATTTCGATGTTGTGTAAGTATCTGAAAATTTTAACAACTACGGAAAATTTAAAGAACTATTTAAAAATAAAGGAATTTTTATTTATCGATAAAATAGGTATTGGAGTCATCAGTTTTTCGTGGCTTAGCTGTGAAAATAGGAATCCCATTTTTTTATTTTATCATCCTTTTCAATAACATCATTGATTTAATTTCCAGTTGATTTTTGGGTTTGGTACTACCTTAGTGCAAATAAACTTTGTTTCGTTTGTGATGCAGAATGTAGAATACTACATTCTTTGTGTGTGATAGTTCAGAGGTGTTTTGTGAGAGTCTTTTGATTTATGCTGAATAACGATACATAGAATGAATTGAAAATGATCATAGTGAGGTTTTTGAATTTTAATTTAATGACTTGCTGGCCCAGTAATGCAGATCTTCCGAGAAGGTAAAATATATCAAACAACCGAGCAAACAACATTCATCGGTAGTTTCCTAAGCTTAAAATCGACAATACCTCTTTTTCAAATCAAATTATGTGAGCCTCGTCTGTATATTTATTTTCAAACATGCCATTCAAGTGTATAATCATTAGAATTAAAAGCAACTTTTTTTATATGTTTAAGTTTTTTTTAATAAATTACATACTGTCGTTATTGACTTTGATCATATGTTTTTCAGGCATCATTTTTGAGTTGATTCGATATTTTTCAGTAAAATATGAAGATTATCCTTACTTTTTCGTAGAAATATTGCAAATTCCTACCCAGTCAACTAACAATAAAAACTATTTTTTTGTAATACTTACCAAAATACTCGTATGATCTCAGTTGTATTGTTTTGGCTGTTGTTGCAACTTCATCTTTATTTTCAATAACGTTGTTCAAGTTCAATAGTCAGTTTATTTTCGAGGTGATTTTCGTATTTGATAATATTTTAGTGGAAAGACTTCTGGCTTTGTGGTGTTTCAAAACAGTTTTTATGTGTTGGATAACGATTTAAGTGAGTGCCTAAAATCTTATTAGTTTCATTTGCCTCATTTCACCAGTCTCCAAAAACATTAAATATTATAGATTTTTAGCGACTTTTGATACTGCAAAATTATGATCATTTTTATTAAATTCTTTACCTAAGCGATAAATAGAGTTACCTTTTCCATATCATTGACGTAAATATCCCTTTTGTTTTTACCTTTTTCTGAGAAAAATGCATTCTTCATAAATGTTTTTACTTGATCTAAGATGCTTAAATCCGTTGATACTTTTTCATATTTCTGTAATTTAAAAAAATATGCGAATATGGTTGAATTTTTTAGATGTTCAAAATGGAAATATCAGTGCCTTTCTATTATTATTAGATATTAGTTCTTGTGCTGCGTTTGTTTTAACGACCAAGAATTCCTAAGACAAAACTATGTTTTGTAATAAGCAGTGATTATGAGTAGGTATAATCAATCAGAGAACCATTAATAATAATTTAATTAACAGCAAACAGAAACAACAAAAACTTATTCGTTTTATTCTCCTCACTTTACCAGACTACGAAAAATTAACTTGTTTAGTAGCACTTGAAGCCGGAATATTATGATATTTTCTTTAAATTTTTCAACCAAGCAAAAAGTACTTGTATTTATATATGCTATAGTATAGTATCACATTTTCCGTAGCATTGAAGTAAATAAATTTTGTGCTCCTTTGATGTTTTAAGCCAATGGCGCAAGAATTGAAGACAGCAAGAAATTATGACTTTAATAAAAATTAATAATAATCTCTCAAAGAATTAAATATAAACGATAATAACATAGAAATGCGTTTCTAGGACTTATTACTTTTATAGTAAATGCATTTTTCTCAAAACGTGAATAATGAAAAAGTGTTTCGTTTTGTAAAGACGACGAGGGGACATACTAGCATTTATTACCATTACAAATGAAAATTTTGACAACTACGGAAAATTAGAACTACTTATTTAAGAATAAAGGAATATTTATGTATCGGTAAAATAGTTTTTTGGACCTTAGCTATGAAAATAGGAGTCCCATTTTTTTTATAATATCATTCTATCATCCGGTAGATTCTATATCAGCCCGTTCGGTTGAATAACAACATCGATAATTTCAATAATAACGCCATGGATTTAATTTCCAGGTGATTTTTGGATTTGGTACTACCTTAGTGCAAGTTAACGTTGTTTCGTTTGTGATGTAGAATGTAGAATACTACATTCATCGTGTCTGATAGTTCAGAGGTGTTTTGTGAGCGTCTTTTGATTTATGCTGAATAACGAAATTACATAGAATGAATTGAAAATGATCTAGTAAGGTTTTTGAATTTTAATTTAATGACTTGCTGGCCTTGTAGTGAAGATCTTCCGAGAGGTAAAATATGTTAAACAACATTCGTCGGTAGTTTGCTAAGCTCCAAATTGACATTATCTCTTTTTCAAATCAAATAATGTGTGTCTCGTCTGTATATTTCTTTCAAATATACCAGTCAAGTATATATTCATTAGAATTAAAAGCAACTTTTTTTATTTTTTTTTAAATACATACTGTCTTCGATACTGTCGTTATTCACTTTGATAATCTGTTTTTCAGGCGTCATTTTTAAGTCGATTTTTTTTAGTAAAATATGAGGCTTAATTTTCTGTAGAAATATTGCAAATTTCTAATTAGCAACTAACAATAAAAACCAAATTTTTGCACTACTTACCAAAATATGATCTCAGTTGTATTGATTTTTGCTGTTGTTGTAATCTTTCTTTTCAATAACGTTGTTTTTTTTTTCAATTTATTTTTGAGGTGATTTTCGTACTTGTTATTATTTTGGTTGAAAGACTTGTTGTTTTGTGGTGTTTCAAAGATGTTTTGTGACACTTTTTTTATGTGTTGGATAATGATTTTACACTGGATATATTGAAAATTATCATAGTGAGGTGTTTGAATTTTATTTTAATGGCCTTATAGTGCAGATCTTCCGAAAAGGTAAAATATAACAAACAACATTTTTTGGTAGTTTCCCAAGCACAAAATCGACAACATTTTCTCTTTATTATACCATAAAATAACGCGAGGCTCATCTGTAAACTTATTCTAAAAAGGACCATTTAAGTGTGTAATCATTAGATATAAGTGCATCTCTTGTTTTCTTCTCAATTTTTTTAATTAGGTATATACTATAGTTATTGACTTTAATAATCTACATTTGCAGGCATCATTTTCATGTTAAGTCAATTATTTTATATAAAATTAATATGAGGCTTATCCCATATTTTTTTGTAGAAATATTTCCTACTGATTCAGCAACAATAAAAACTAAATTTTTCCCTACTAACAAAAATATGATCTAAATTCGTTTTCGAGTTTGGTACTACTTTGGCCGAAAACTTTTCGTTTTGTGGTGTTTCAAAGATGTTTTGTTACAGTTTTTTGATTTGTGTTGAAAACCGATTTTAGAATATACTTATTGGAAATCACAATAAGGTTTTTGAATTTCATTTTAATGTATTGCTGGCTCAGTAGTGCAGATCTTCCGAGCGCAGGGCAAAATGTAACAAACAATATCTAAATCTTTTTACCAAATTTTAAGTGACTGTGAGGCTCGTCTGTATGTTTCTTTTCAAGTGTGCCATTCAAATGTCTAATCATTAGTACTAAATATCTAGCAGTTGTTTTTTTTCTAC